CCCATGTGATTTTATTTTTGTAAAGCAACAAGCATCAGCAGGCTGTATAAAGTTTAAAAAAAAAAAAAAATCATGTAATTTTAATCAAAGTCTTTTTATTTATTTATTTTTTCTAGAACTTGACTCAAAACAAACAAACAAACAAAAAAACATACAACAAATTCCCCTCCCACACCAGATCAGCCACGCAGACACGCACACACCAGACAGGCATTTATGACGACTAAACAATAATATTTGCTGACATACTTTCAATATAAGATATAAATGGCCAAGTGTCCCAAAATCTCTCAACAGATCCTTTCAGAGTATCGTGTTTTGCCGATTATACATCGCTCTGGAGTATAGGCTGCATCAGTCAAAAAATGCCTGATGAAGAGAAAAAAAACGTATATAAGTCACTTCGAAGTACAAGTCGCATTTATTTAGACGTATATTTCACAAAGTGCAAGAACAGACATTTAATCTGAAATAACAATAACACACAGAACATACACCCTGGGGTCCTGAACAGGCTTAATTAACATAAGCCAACGAGTCCGACAAGCAAGTTACCGTCCTTGGTGTCACTTCTGAGTAACTCCGGAGGAAGACTGGGGGTGGAGTAGCAGAAGAGGAACAACATATAGTTGTCAAAAGCCTAGAGGGCCCTCTCGCGACTGCAAATGGTAATGTTTGCTTTTTGGTTCATGTCAGTATGAATGAACATATAACATGTCAGTCAAAAATTGCGTCATGAACAGAGAAAAAAACGTATATAAGTCGCTTTGGACTATATGTTGCAGGACTGGCCAGACTATGAAAAAAAGAGCGACTTAAAGTCTGGAAAATACGGTGTATTTTGTATAATACAAATAATACAATACGGTGTAATCCTTTCCAAATTAATATGACACATGACTTCTCTTATCCAATGTCCTTATTCCAGAGGATGTGCAGATTCCATCTGCATAAAATAAGTCTCCTGGCTAGAAGAGAGCCAAAAGCAATCATATTCGTCTTGTACTTGCTGAAGGACGCATCCACAAGGACCACCCCAAACAGTGAAATGAACGGTGATGGGTGCACAGTTTTTCCACATATCCTAGATCGTCAATAGTCCCACAGCTTTGGCCAAGTCCAGACTCTGTGTAAGAGCATAGCTGGAGTTTGTTTACAGCGATTACATACAGGATCCAGGTTGGTTTTAACCTTGGACAGCTTGTCTTGGGACCATTGCAAACGGTGCACTACCTTGTATTGAATTAAAACTTGTCTCAGATTGAGCATGAACAAATGTTCTTAATTAACTTTCGCCAGATTGAGCCTGATATGGGTTCCTCCAAGTCCGTTTCCCATTTCAGTTTGTGTCCAAACTGGTCTCATGGTATGAACTGAGCTGTGTATAGATCTTTCTGAGGGTCCCCTTGGTATCAGACCTGCACTCGAAAATCGTAACCACAAAATGTTTAGAGGGGTACAAAGGAAAACAATCAGAGTTAGACCTCACAAAATGTCTCAGTTGCAAATATCTGAAGAACTGTGACTTCTGAAAATAAACTTCTGTACCAGGTGTTCAAAAGAGGCAAATCTACCATCAGCACAGGTCATGTAGTGATTGTACTCCGTTCAAGACCTCCAAAAAATCTTTTTTTTTTTTTTTTTGTCAGACATTCAAATTAGGAGTTAGGAATAAAGTTATCTAAATGTTATTATGTCACTTTTAGTCAAAACCATTTGAAAAAATTGCACAAATCAGAACAAATCAAATCTAAAGTTCAGGTTAGAGCTAGATCAGATTTGTTCTAAGTTTATTACTTGACAGGGTTCCTGCACAGTCCTAAAATGTTTGGCAAATTATGAAATTTGTGTTTAATGTTTTCCTGATCTGGGACAGTATGGCCAAAAATTAAAATAAAAACTGAAAGTCAGGAAATTCATGGTGTTTCCAGACTCTGTTCCATTTTCTAGACAAAATTCTATTTTTCTAACGTTTGCTCAAACGTGTAGAGTATTTTTCAAATTTTTTTTATAGGATGTAAACCTTGAGCGCCTAGACTTAAATGGCTGCTTCGTAGGGAATTGAACATTCTGTAAAACACTTTGCAAACCTGAGATTCAACAACAGTCCCTCCAGGAAGCTGCAGTGTTGTAGTTGCAACTGTGAATTGCAAATTTTTCACAAATATCATCACCTTAGTCCACCACCCGATTTAATTTCCTGGAATCTGAGCCATAAGATTGTTTTGATGCATTCCTTTTCTGTGAACTTGGTAAAGACCTGACTAGAAGTGAGGATGAGCAGGAAATGGAGTTCCCTCTTAAATGAAGGAAAAATCATCTGCCGGCAGTAGGAGGTGTCCCCTTAAATTAGAGATGACCTGTTAAAGTGTTAGAAGTTTGTCATTAACAGCTGACAACATAAATATGTAACAGAGACATAAATATACCCAATTTCACCAGCTTTTTAACACAAAAGCCTGGTATTTATCAAATTCTGCAGATTTATTGACTTTTATTTGTTACGTTTGGACCTCGACATTACAGGTGTGGGTCATAAAATTAGAATATCATGAAATGTTGATTTATTTCAGTAATTCCATTCAAAAAGTGAAACTTGTATATTATCTTCATTCATTACACACAGACTGATATATTTCAAATGTTTATTTCTTTTAATGTTGATGATTATAACTGACAACTAATGAAAAACCCAAATTAATTCATATTGTGAAAAGGTTCAATATTGAAGACACCTGGTGCCACAGTCCAATCAGCTAATTAACTCCAAACACTTGCAAAGGCTCTCAGTCTAGTTCTGTAGGCTACACAATCATGGGGAAGACTGCTGACTTGACAATTGTCCAAAAGATGACCATTGACACCTTGCACAAGGAGGGCAAGACACAAAAGATCATTGTTAAAGAGGCTGGCTGTTCACAGAGCTCTGTGTCCAAGCACATTAATTAGGCATAGGGAAGGAAAAAATGTGGTAGAAAAAAGTGTACAAGCAATAGGGGTAACCGCACTCTAAGAGGATTATGAAACAAAACCCATTCCAAAATATGAAGGAGATTCACAAAGAGTGGACTGCAGCTGCAGTCAGTGCTTCAAGAACCACCACGCACAGATGACAAGACAAGGAGTTCAGCTGTCGCATTCCTTGTGTCGAGCCACTCTTGAACAAGAGACAGCGTCAGAAGTGTCTTGCCTGGGCTAAAGACAAAAAGGACTGGACTGCTAATGAGTGGACCAAAGTTTGAAATATATCAGTCTGTGTGTAATGAATGAATATAAAATACAAGTTTCATCTTTTGAATGGAATTACTGAAATAAATAAACTTTTTCATGATATTCTAATTTTATGACCAGCACCTGTAGATCAGCTATACTTTACTTACATCAGTCATATGGTGGAAATTTGTAAATTAATTTGTTCCTGGCTAGTTAAAGAAAAAATAAGGCTACAAGCGTAGCAACTTAAAAAAAAAAAAAACTGATCCAAAACTCGATTTGCGGCTGCAGGAGCGAGCAGAGGGAGGACTCGCTGTGCATTTCTTAGAAATTTGACAAGATCGTCACCTTAAAACAATTATTTGCTCAGCATTATAGTAAAGATGAGTCTCAGTTGAACTCAAGTGGGCGGCGCGGCAAAATGCAGCTGATTTGACGTTTGCTCCAGGAGTTCTGGAGCGAGATGAAGGTGGCGCTGTGGCATGCTAAATACTCATTATAGCCACTTTTACCTATTAATGAGACACTTGGCTTGCCATAATGCTCAAGGGCCCTCTAGTGGCTGAAAATGGTAGTGTTCTATCCAACATTTTTCAGTCAGGTCATCTCGACAGTTTCTTTTTTTGTGCAGAAACGTTTCGCCTTCGATCCGGAAGGTTCATCAGTCAAGGAAACACACAACAAAACTGATTCTTCCCCCAACAGCTTACTCCAAAGTGGAACTAACCAGTTATGTTGGTGATAAGTTGGTCTCTTTGTCACGCCCCTCCTCCATTGTCGGCCCTCTTCCTTGTTGACAGTCATATCAAACTGGTTGAAAACAACAAAGTCCATGCTCAATAATCCAGGTATATAATCCAACATTTTTCAGTCATGTCATCTGGACAGTTTATTTATTTATTTATTTTTTTGTTGTATTATATATCTGGATTATTGAGCATGGACTTTGTTGGTAGTGTTCTATATTTTCCATGTCACAATGAATGAAATCATCAGATCTCAGCTAAAAATTGTGTTATAAATAGGGGGGGGGGACGTATATTAGTCGCTTTGCTGTATAAGTCACAGGACTTACAAATTTATGCAAACAGGTGTGACTTATACGGCAAAAAATACAGTACTTTTAAAGATCAAATGAATTTGCTCAGCCTGACTGAAAGAATTAATGGAGACAAGTACTGGGAATCATTTTAAAGATTGTGCGATGAGTGGTCCAGGCAGCTCTCAACGTGTGTGAGGACACCGATTTAATCAAAAATACTTTCGTTTAACACCAACTTGTGGCTTTTTAGATATTTACTCTGCACAAACACAAAGTAAATGCTCTGAAGCAAAACTGAAAACTGTTTTTTTTTTTAAAACACACAAAAAAGCAGTGCCAGACAGTTGTGTATATGTGTACATTACAGCAGGGCAGTAATGACAGGCGCGTTGTGTCTATGTATAGTTCTGACTTCAACTAGGTTTGACTGATGTGGAGGACGCAGCAGAGCTCGAGAGGCAAATAAACAAAACGGGGATGATGTGAGCTCATGAAGGCTGAGCGCCAGAGGGCTGGACGTCTTGCGGTCAAAGAAAAAGGATGTTACTAGGAAACACATAAAACCACAAACACACAACAGTCAGCCACTCAAATATAGCCTTAAACCATGTAAACACCCGGGTGCTTACTGAAGCCAAATAAACACTGTAGGTACGAGCAGCGTCTGGGCTCAACTGTACGGTTTTGAAACAAACATCTGTCTCCTGTAGGTGGATGGCATCCTGAAAGCAGTCCTCCGCGATGAGATCATCGCGTGGCATAAGAAGACGCAGGAGGACACGTCCATCCCGCTGTCCCCCGCCGGACAGCCAGAGAACATGGACTCGCAGCAGCTGGTCTCGTTGGTCCAGAAGGCCGTCACGGCCATCATGACCCGCCTCCATAACCTGGCTCAGTTCGAGGGCGGGGAGAGTAAGGTCAACACCCTGGTGGCTGCAGCAAACAGCCTGGACAATCTGTGCCGCATGGATCCTGCCTGGCACCCCTGGCTTTGAGCGGGGGATGAAGACTTGTTCTCTGATGAGGAGTTCTTCATGGATCTTGCTCCTGAATGTACCTTTTTTGATTTGAAACACAAAATAATTCAGAAGGTAGAACAAAGCTAACAGACTGGAGTCATTTCAGCACAAGTTGACTTTATGGTTTGAACCTTTTTCTGATTTAACTCGGATTCATTTTCAATATCTGGGTGAGATGCAGAACAGAGATTTAAGCCGGCTTTACTGGGGGGGGTTAACAAACTGTGAATTTTCTCTGTTGCTTCTCGCCTTATCCATTTTTTTTTTCCTGAAACAGTCACAACTTATGAAATTTGTACTTTTACTTTGTGTCCCAGTGAAATGGGGAAAATATTTTTTTGGAAACCTGTTGATGATTGTATTTTTCTCCTGCTTGAACCATTTTAAGATGGGATTTTATTTACAGATGTCATTTTTTATCCTGTTTTTTTGTCTCGTCGGTTATACAGATCGATGCTGTAATGAGCTCAGACAATTGTAATGCTGGTATTTCTTTCCCAGTCCTGTTGTTTCCCTTGTTGTCAAGGTCTTTTAGCCTTTTTTAACCGAAGTATTACCTCCTACTTGTACAAACAAAGCATTTTGTTGTAATAAAATGTTCTTTTTATTATATAGAGTCTGTCCTGAATCTTTTATTTCATCCATTCTTTGTTTTATTTTGATCACTTGCTACTAAGGACAAGAGGTGATGATGTTTTTTCCTCATGGGTGTTTGCCTGTTACCAAAACATCTCATGAATCACTGAATGAGTTTGAATCAAACGTGATCTACAACAGATCCACTTTTGGAATCAACCTAATTCAAGATGTTTACTAGTGTAAAACTCATTCCTTCAAGAAATGCCAGGCTTTTAATAATGTGAATATTTATGAAGCATTCACACTATTGTGATCCTTTTTTTTTTTTTTCTGTACATTTTTCTGCATCTTTTTCGTTCCACAATTTTTGTGCTATTTCAACAAATCATGAAACGTTGAGCTCTTTCAGAAAGGTGCTATGATTTGGTATTGGTGCAACTTTAGCTTTTTGAAACCTTTAGCCTTTTCTGACATTTTTTTTCCCCTCATAGGAAAAAATAGAGCTCATTTTCCCTCCTTCAAATCTTTAGATCTGTTTACAACCTTTTACTGCTCCTTTCACATTTTGTTCCAGTTCAGCTTCGTTCAGCTTGTTTGTGCAAATTTAAACTGTTTTAACTAATTTCAGCTGGTTTATGCTCCTTTCAGATTCTTTCTGCTAACTACTACATTTTTGTGCTTCTTCTAACTTCTTTCAGCTAATTTCAGCTTACCTCTGCACGTTTCAGCTTTTACTACTTCTTCATCTACTATATAGCTATTTTTATGCTAATTTAAGCTTTTTTTCAAATAACTTCTACTTTTTTATGCTCGTTTCCGCATCTTTCAGCCTAATTGGGCAAACGTGTTCTTTCTGCTTTCCTATGCTAATTTAAGCTTTGTCAGCTACAATTCCACATTTTTTTTAGCTTATTTCAGCTCTTCCTACTTCCTTCTAGTAAGTTAAGCTTCTTTCTGCCTTTTCAGCTACTTGCCACTAATTTCAGCTTTTTGAGCTACGTAATTTCCTAATTTTTGTGCTTAATTCTGCTTATTTAAACCTAATTCAGCAAATATGGGTGCTTTCTACTAACAGGTTTGTTCTTCCATTTCAGCAGGTTTTTAGCTAATTTAAACTGTTTTTCAGCAAGTTCTTCAGCAACAATAATTCACGCTGCATTTTCACATGAAATGTAGTTTCTCTAGTTAAAGGAAGTGCAACCATTTAAAAACGTCTCATTATTTTATTGTTTTTCTTTTACAGCTGTAAAGCAGCGTTAATCGCCTGTAATCCTTCATCTGCAGCTCATATCTACCGCATCGCTGTCAGTTGTAATCACCCTGAAGGACGCTCTCTGGGATATTGTTGCGGTGATAACTCATGCTGTGAAATGACTCTCGATGAACTGTTGTCTGATGTAGAAAAATCCATCGCTGTCACTCCTGTCGTTTGCATTAGCGAGGCCGTTTCAGCACAAGGTGTGTCTTTGTGTGGAGTTACAGTAACCTTGCGGCCGTTTCCTCCCTCTGCTTAGGAAGTCTTGCAGCGGTGCCCCCCCCCCCCCCCCCACCTGCTACAACTCTGGCACCTGATTAATGTTTGCCAGCAGATCTCCACGTGGCCCTGCCTTGCTTGACGTATCCACTCTGTCATGTACCCCCCTCTGCCCCCGTAAACAAAGGTTGTATCTCTGTTTGCCTCCATACAATCCACACGCACTCGCTGCTTCGCAACATGTTTACACATCGCCTCAAACATTTCTCTTCTTCCCTTATTCCCACAAGAAAAAAAACCACTGTTTGGTCTGTATCTGCCGTCTCAGAGCTGCCATCGCTGGCGTGTTTTTGTAACTGTGCGTGTGATGGTTTGTGCAGATACTTGACAGTTTGTATTCTTTTTTTCAGCTCACGTTTCTTGAAACTTTATAATCCACATGGAACGGTTTGCCATGTCCGCATGTTTATTTCTTCAGATTCCTGCTGAGGTGAGTCATCTCACGGGCCACATTTCGACTCTTTTCTTCAAAGCGTGGCAGTAATCTGACCTCTGACGTGAGAAAACTTCGCACTGCTTCACGAAGCCGTTCACGAGATTCAGGCTGGTTGTGTTGGAGCAAATGCAGCGCCCACCTTGTATCAGTCGGCCCTTGCCAAGTTTTTCCAGATGGCTTCTGTCTTACACCCCAAAGGAGGAACTAGATTGAAGTATTTAGTACTCACTGCTGAGGAGAGAACCCCAAAAAGCTCATATTTCCTCTATTTGTTAGAAGTGCACCAAATCTTTGATTTAAAAAAATCATTAAAAATATAGATTGTTTTGCAGAATATTCTGACCAGTGTTGCCAGATTGGGCAATTTACTGCCAATTGGGCAGTTTTCATTCTGATTTTACTGGGAACTCTGGGAAGGTTTTTGTTGTATTGTTGCATTTTGCCACATATTGTTAAATTACCTTGTGCTTTCATGTTCAAGCAGTAAATATAACAATATATTGGGTGTATTTTGTGTGATGTGGCAGTTTTGAACAGATTTTTGGGCTGGGAAACCTCAACTCTATCTGGCAACACTGATTTGTTAGTGCTCGGTTTGTGGTGTGAGTGACTTTTAGCTACCACATCAAATTTTAGCTCGATAAATGGAAAACTACCGAAGGTTTGGCCATTTGTTGTATTTTTAAGGTCCGTTAGCTGTAACTATTTTCTAAAGGGTCACCCAGGTTCATGAGATATTTAGCCAACGTACAGACGCAGGTAAATCATTGCTCGACTTTTAGCAGCTTTTAAGAAAAGAACTCTGTCTGTTTTTAGGAGGCTCCCACTGAGATTTTATTAAATAATTTATTTTAGGCCTGTCCTGTTTTTGGTCCTGATGAGACGAGTACATTTTTCATGTTTTGAGTATTTGAGAGAATTTAACTGTATTTATAAAATCCTTAGCACGCATTAAAAAATACAGATTTATCCTAAAATGCAGTCAGTTATGAAAACACAAGACAAAGAGATTCTGAACATCAACAAAGTCTGACTTATCTTTTACGGGGTTTTTTTTCCAAAACAAGTCTCCAGACTTCCTGAAGGACATTCCTCAGCTCTTCTTTAGATGCTGACTGCCTTTTGTCTCCCACTGAAACATCTGGACTCTTGATGCTAGTGGTTCATTGTGTGGTTTAAAGGCTGATGTGTCTTTACTGCAGTTGGTTTGAGATCACACATTCTAATAAACGCAGCTGCTGCCAATCAGATGTTTTCCAGATGTTGTATTAAAACCTGTCAGTACTTCTGGACATTTAGATCTTTTATCAGTTTCTATCAGTTTTTAAAATCTCTCCTGCACCACTGGATAAATTGCAGTCCCAGTTATGATCCAACCTCCATCCTTTACAAATGGCTTCGGACACTTACAGTTGTAAATCTATGCTGACTTCCTCCATGCATTAAAGGGATAGTCTGGTCATTTCTAGTGCTGTTCTGTCAAATAGGTATTAATAGTTAGTTCCTTATCAGCCGTATTTTAGAACACAGAATGAGGAGAAAGAGACAAAAGTTTATTCCAGGCTAGGCTAATAACTAACCCAACAAGTTCTCAATTTCTTTAACTATATTTTTTAAAGCTTATAAAGCAAGTCTTTCTTAAAAATGGCACATATGGAAGGGTAATATATTCGCTAATATTAAACTTGTACACTTTTACATGACATTTGTTTAGTTTGCCACTATTTTCACATCTGAATGTCTGTGTTAGCCTATACTCCTGCTCTATGACTGATGTCACAGCTGGTAAGACACTAACTACTAATAAATATTCGACCAAAAATCACTTTAAATCACATGTCCTTTTGAATGCAACCATACAAACACATTGCCACTGATTTTCATGCCAGCTCTTGTGAACTTTAACATCCTTCAGGTCTTTTCCACAGTTTCCCTTCATAAAGAATGGATTCATGACAGCCATTCTTCTCCTGAGACTATTTTTAACGAGGTTTCAGCAGACGGACGTTGGACCAGCTGAATGTCTCAGGACCAGCATCAGATGGACTGACACAGTTGAACTGTTGTCCAACTGCTCCGACTATAGTTGGACTGTTTCCTGTTTCTTAAAGATGTGACTTTCAGGTTCTGTCCTGTTACAATTGTTTTAAAGGTCTGACACTTCTTTTGTTCCCAATTTATTTTTAAATGCACTAAGATCTGCCCATTGTTCTTTCTTTGCAGTTAATATGGCAAGCCCTTTTGACATAAAATTGAGTAGTCTGACTATCTGTAGTTACATTCTAGATATCTAAAAATGAATTTTGACTAGGAACAATTACATTCTGACTAATCAGAATAACAATTCAAGATGATATGTAGTCTTTTTTTCCCCAAAAAAATATTATACAAATAAAATGGCTTGCCATACAGGTAATGGTTTATCCTTTACCATTTTCTCTGTTGATGTGAACTGATTTAGCCCCCCCTCCCCCCACGCCTAACGTCATCCTGTGTTGTGAGAGAAGTGCAGGTGATTGAAGTTCTCTTGTGGGAACGCAGGTGTTCAGACTCCATTACTGTTGCTGGCACAGAACGGAGATCTCCGAGGACGCCCCAAAGCAGGAACAGATCCTGGCAGGACCAGATGATGAAATCTCTCCTCTCCAATGGCCCTC